GATACTAAACCTAAGCTACGCAGAACGTATTAATAATCGAATTAACTATTAATATAAATTATGTTTTCCGAGGACTATGAAAAAGGTCCTCGGAAGGTGTGTATGTCCTCGGAAGTTGGTATATATCTGAATTTTTGTCCTCGCAACATATAGCAATCCACGTACACACACACACACACGCACGCAGTTGTCTCACTACCGGTATAATGATATTTTTGTCTGCTTAGGTATGAGTTATTGACACCAAGTGTGATCCCTAAGGGTTTCATGGATGGCAGAAAAGCTGTACAAAACATGGTAAGTACTGTAATTACTCTACAACACAAAAATCTGGACTACTGAGAAAAGAATGTATTTTCTGGTCTACCTGACTTGATTGTAAATCATTTACTTGATTTGACAAAAGCAAGTATTATAATAGTCATGTTGTTTTGAAATTTGAAAAGTTTTCTCAAGTTCTTTATTTTTAGTAGAAATCATTGTTAAACTTGTACTTTTTAGATTGAAGCACTTGAACTGGATCCTAATTTGTTTCGCATCGGGCAGAGCAAAATCTTCTTTAGAGCTGGTGTACTTGCTCATCTAGAAGAGGAGAGAGATCTCAAACTAACAGACATTATTATCCAGTTCCAAGCACTCTGTAGAGGAATGCTTGCCAGAAGGTATTGTTTTATATACATTTTTGTATGGACCACTTTTGGATCCTTAGGAAAGTGAAACTCTAACAGAGATTTCTGGAAATTACAACTTTGGAACGTGAGGTCACTAACTGATTGCAATATTGTTTATTTTCAGGAATTATCAGAAACGTCAACAACAGTTGAGTTCAATTCGCGTCATACAGCGTAACTGCCTAGCGTATTTGAAACTGAGAAACTGGCCATGGTGGAGACTATTTACCAAGGTAAAATAATTGAAAACAATATTTTTTGCAATTTTACCAAACTTATTTCTATTGTTTGTCGCCATGGATTGGAAGCTGGTATTCTATCATCACTTTCACTTTTTAAGTGCAGGTGGTGAATTTGTAATTGTTTGCAAATGACATTAAACTATTATTTAGTTTTCCCATAGTTATACTGTATTGATATTTACATTTATATCCCCATGGTAACAGGTAAAACCTTTGCTACAAGTTACACGCCAAGATGAAGAGATGCATGCCAAGGAAGATGAGCTACTGAAAGTGAAAGATAAAATGGAAAGAATAGAGACTGATTATATTGAATTAGAAAGGAAGCATACACAATTGAATGAAGAGAAAAATATTCTTGTAGAGCAATTACAAGCTGAAGCTGAATTGAGTGCCGAAGCCGAAGAGGTAAAAACTTAACTTTGTCTAATGTCATTCTTATATCGCTGAAAGTTAATGTGACAAATTTTAAAAAACATTAATTTTAAATAAAGTTCATAATGTATTGTTTCTTTTACTTGTCGGTCAAATTAATACCAAGTGAATATTTATTGCCAAATAATATCCACTAAAATTGAATTTAACTGATCTAAATTTGTATTCTGCTATGATTGTCATATTAGGCATAATTTAGTTTTTGAACGTTTAGATTAACAATATTTTTCAGAAATTCACAAAGATTTTAATTGAAATATTCATGCCATTTCTAGCAGCACAATGTGGTAAGTTGTGCTATTATTTTGAAGCAATGTTTCTGCATTTGTCTTCTGATAACAACTGTTTACTATTTTTCTGTTCAGATGAGAGTTCGTCTTGCAGCTAAGAAACAGGAATTGGAAGAAATTCTTCATGATCTCGAAGCACGTATTGAGGAGGAAGAAGACAGAAACCAACATCTAGTGAATGAAAAAAAGAAAATGACAATCACTGTTCAGGATTTGGAAGAACAGTAAGTTGACTTGAATCATCAAGCCAATACAAGTTTCTATTAATATATCTCGCTGTGATGAATCATGTTTGATATGTTTTATACGATGGATACACTGCTTATTAACACAAGATGAACAACTGCAACCTTTTACTTTGGCTGTTACTCTTTCTGCTAGTTCCCCCCTGGCTGTGAAAACTTCATTCAAGAAATCTTGTTTTCGTTAAAAGAAGTATCTATCACGAATCATTTTAATTGTGCAAAGTTCTCAATCATTTGGCTTCATCCAACATGTATGAGAAAATTTTATATTTTTCATAGGTGCATCCCAGTAATATGCAACCTAATAATAATTTGTATAACTGGAACTTTAAAACTGCGTCAGAAAAGTTTAACAGTCACTGGTCCTGAATTATGGAATTTTTTTTACAGAACATACTTTCTAGCTATTTAAAAGAAAATTTGAAAAACTACTGAATTATTGATCGTATATTTGCTTGTTTTGATGTGATGTGTAGTTTTGTCGCCTTTTCTTTTTGTAATGGAAGGAAGATTAACATTTTGCTAATTGCATTAACCTCATTAAATAGTTTGAATAAAACATTATGTAAGCTATAAATGTTTTCTTCACTAGGTTAGAAGAAGAAGAACAAGCTCGTCAGAAACTGCATTTGGATAAAGTAGCCTTGGATGCCAAAGTGAAGAAAATGGATGAAGATTTAGCACTTTTAGAAGATAACAATGCTAAGGTATACAACTTCAATCTGTGACATGAATACATGAAAAAAGGGACGGACCAACACAATTGCCAATTCTTTGGAGGGGACATCTTATCTGCATGTTTCCCTTGTTATTTCTATTAGCTATAACCACTATAACAGTCTCTGCCGCATTGCTTATTGACAACTTTTTATGACTTCTGGAATGAAATAAACTAGTAAAGGTTCATTTTGTGATTTAAAATGCTTTTTTTTTTTAATACAACTCAAAGGATTATTGTTACTTTAGAAAATCTTCCACTTTTTGTATCACTTACCATGTTAAAGTATTTGTAAATAATTCAAGAAATAACAAATTTGGTCATATACGTCAACATGTGCATTAAATATGATGTGGTTTGTGACACCAGAATAAAAGTTTATTGTTCTCTGCAGATAACAAAAGAGAAAAAGTCTATCGAAGACCGTTTTAATGAAGTCAGTCGTCAATTGGCAGAAGAAGAAGATAAGGCGAAACAGTTGAGTAAACTTAAAGTGAAACATGAAGCCAATATAGGTGATCTTGACAGAAGATTGAAAAAAGAAGAAAAGGTAAGAACATTTTATCCCAAAAATTGATCCACTTTCTCAACAGAAAACATGTATTCTTCTTGGAAAAACTGCAATATCTGTTTCTTGAAGTACATCCACTATTTGTTAGAAATAAACAAAGGATTCCTTCAAATAAAATGCACATGATAACATTATAAACTTGATGAGATAGAAAGATCGGTGTAGCATGGAAAAATATTCTCGTTGTGTTGAACAGTCTGAGAAAGAAAAGCTGTTTGAGTATCCTTCTCAGATAAAGATAAACAAACTTGTTCAAAATCAATATTTTTAGTCCTCGTTCAGACAAAGTTCGAAATGGGCACTTGTAGTAGAGCTTTCATGTGTGTGTGTGAACGAAGTTGAATCTCCGATATACCTTGAACCATTCTCTTTAAACCTTGCACATACTCAACACCTCCATATGAATAGAATAGAATAATGCTTTATTACATCCTTAATGAAATCTGACATTTCAGTTTTGGTAATTGCTGTATTAAAGCTTTTTAAAATAAACTACAATTAAACTACACATACAATACAATAGTAGATTTCAAATAAACAACAACTAAATCACACGGAAAATATAGCACAACAATACATTAATTATTTATCACCTACATTAATTAACACCTACAATATATTAATTACCACACATTGCATATGTATCATATATGATACATATGCAATGATTTTGCGATTTTTAATAACACACTAAAATCTAGTATTTTGACATGTCCAGAACCATTACTTCAAACTTGGTGAAAAAGTTAACTATGTGTAGTTGATACGCACCAATTTGATTTGTAAATTCAAATGAAATTCTCCTATTGGTGGCCATTTTGCTTTTGACAAATTTTATCCCTGACATACATGGATATCTTGTACATGCTTTGAGCAATTCACATATCAAGTAATTATGAGTGTTTGCTGATTCAACCTAAGAGAAAATATTATTATTATATTATATATTTATCACACACACATTTCCACAGCACGACTTAATGAAATGGCGAAGTATTGTCAGTGGAACTATTGCTGAAATAATATTGATTACAAATAAATCATTGTGTTGTCTTCATATACTAATTTGTTGGTGCCATGATCGACTTGTGTATGCTGTATGGCAATTTTCCTTGTTCGTGATATTTGCTCAAATTTTATTCCTCGTTCGTGATATTTGCTCAAATTTTTTCAAAACCTGCCACAATTTTGTGACGTTTTTTTCAAATATGGACAAAAAAAGTTAAGGGTCGGGTAGTAAAATATAGGGTTGGTTGGGTTATAGAAACGCATATTTTCTTGGCCTAAATGTGATATTTGTCGTCACGTGCATGACATACATGTAAGTCTCTGTAGTGAAAAAATACCATGAGAAATGCAAAATTTTGTCATTTTTAATTCACTATTAATTCTTACTAAATATTTCTCCTCCATCCCCAGCTTCGTCAAGAACTTGAAAAACTCAGACGAAAGTTGGAAACTGAGATCAGTGATTTAAAAGAGCAGTTAGCAGAACTCAAACAACAACTACTTGAAGTTCAAACACAGTTAGCAAGAACAGAAGAAGAACTCAACCAAGCGTTAGCAAGGTATAAAAACAAAGGAAATCCTACTGTTGGCTGTTAGCAGTGTTCTAATAGCTACCTTGCAGTGTTGTATTCTGGGTTTCCATAAATTACATTGTTATTCATATTTTACCTTTCTGTGGGTTATGATATGTTTTTAAATAATAATAATAATACGAAGCTCAATGGAACGTGGATTAGAAACTGTTTCTAAATGACATATTGGACTATTTATTACTAGATGTGATGAAGAAGCAGCTGCTAAAGTAGCAGCACAGAAAGCCCTGAGGGAGTTAGAAAATCAATTACAGGAGACCGAGGAAGATCTTCAGGCAGAAAAGGAAGCAAGAAACAAAGCAGAAAAACAGAAACGAGACCTTGGTGAGGTGGGTTTGATTCCATTTTTTCTTGCAAAACGTGTTTATTAAATAAATCTTGGCAGGAGTAGGGAAAAGCTTACCACACAAGTGTTTGAATCTTTGTATTACGTATGCAAGTATTAATTGCTTTAAATTAAAAGTTTGTTTTTAATCATTATTCATGTAATCTTATTCTGTGCATTAAAAACAAGCTGTCGTTTTAATTTCACCAGGAATTAGAGGCACTGAAAACTGAATTAGAGGACTCTCTGGATACAACAGCTACGCAACAAGAACTACGAAACAAACGTGAAGCAGAACTTCATCATTTCAAGAAAATGTTAGATGAAGAATCACAAGCTCATGAACATTATGTTGTTGAAATGAGACAGAAGCACAATGCTGTTGTAGATGATCTGAATGATCAGCTAGACTCCTTTAAGAGGGTGAGTTCTCTTCATTTGCAAGGTGATTTCTTGTTGTACATTTTCAGGTTGCAATTCATAAAACCCGGTGTGAATTGGCGAAGAATTGTTATTTCTTTGTTTTAATTTATCAGTCAGTTTTTATAACTTACCCTTTTCTATGTGCTTGTAATGAGTGCTGCCACGGATACACTCAGTGATACATACATTGGCTTTACTCTATGTACATATAATACAGTGGCTGAACAACTGGGCTATTTACTCAATGAAATTTGAATTACATATTTGTCTTTTACTGCTACAGCAAGTCTCAGAAGTATTGGGGCAGCCAATTTGCAAACTCGCTAGCGAATTGGCTAAATGTTAGGGTTTTGACTAAACAGTTGGCTTCTGAATCTCGCTGGCGCCGACTCGTGGTCACGTCAACTCCGGGCGAGTCTATTTTTCATTAGGGAACATAGTATGTTTTAACATAGCCTGGTACATGTCTGGATTCCCCTGAATGATTTGCTTTGCGAGGCGTGGTAATGTGAAAGTAGTTTCCCTGGTCATCCTGAGAATGGCCACAGTCAGCTGGCATACAAGTGATAATATGATAAATGCAATTAATCCACCGATATTTACTATAGTGGGGGTAGCCATCTTGAACACTGATTAAAATAAAGAGACAAGTTGAGAGAGTTTCCTATAAATCAGGGAGAAAATAAATTTTCACATCCAAACAATTCGTTGGGGTAACATTAACCCAACCGCTAATAAAATTCGAATTCATTCATCGTTTTTTCGTGGATAATCCCTTGTTAACAAACACCACGAAAAAAATAGAACACTTTCCCTGGTATATTTGAAAGCAAAATCGCCATCCAACTAAAGTATGACGACTGTCCCCAACTGTTGTATAGATTCACCCAGAGTGGACGCGACCACAAGTCGGCGCCAGCGAGATTCAAAAGCCAACTGTTTAGTTAAAACCCAAGCAGTTAGCCAATTCGCTAGCAAGTTTGCAAATTGGCTGCCCCAATACTTCTGAGACTTGCTGTAAATGTAACAGGAATAGTTGCTGGGATGGTGACATTTCACAGCACAACTGCCCACCATGATATTTTTCTTGTTACACTCCAAATATACTTTGGAAAACTACAGCTAAGCCTGTATTTGGGATCTATGATTTACACATCTTGCATGGTATAAAAGCAATCGACCTATCTGTGCGTTGTAAAATGAGGTTGCTACAATGTAGTAGGCATATTTTACCATGACTACAATGTAGTAGGCATATTTTACCATGACTACAATGTAGTAGACATATTTTACCATGACTACAATGTAGTAGGCATATTTTACCATGACTACAATGTAGTAGACATATTTTACCATGACTACAATGTAGTAGGCATATTTTACCATGACTACAATGTAGTAGACATATTTTACCATGACTACAATGTAGTAGACATATTTTACCATGACTACAATGTAGTAGGCATATTTTACCATGACTACAATGTAGTAGGCATATTTTACCATGACTACAATGTAGTAGACATATTTTACCATGACTACAATGTAGTAGGCATATTTTACCATGACTACAATGTAGTAGGCGTATTTTACCAGACTACAATGTAGTAGGCACATTTTACCACGACTACAATGTAGTAGGCACATTTTACCATGACTACAATGTAGTAGACATATTTTACCATGACCACAATGTAGTAGACATATTTTACCATGACTACAATGTAGTAGGCATATTTTACCATGACTACAATGTAGTAGGCATATTTTACCATGACTACAATGTAGTAGGCATATTTTACCATGACTACAATGCAGTAGACATATTTTACCATGACTACAATGTCGTAGGCATATTTTACCATGACTACAATGTAGTAGGCATATTTTACCATGACTACAATGTAGTAGGCATATTTTACCATGACTACAATGTAGTAGACATATTTTACCATGACCACAATGTAGTAGGCATATTTTACCATGACTACAATGTAGTAGACATATTTTACCATGACTTTCTTGGGGGTAACAATCAAATGTTGCAAAGATGCCAGGGTTTTGTGACAATGATACTTTACAAGAACACCATTCATGATGTTTTTGTGACAAACCATAAGGATTTGTATGTGATGTTACACTAACTGTGCATTTAATTGTATCTGTTTAGGCAAAAGCCGCTCTTGAAAAGTCAAAACATTCTGTGGAAGCAGAAAATACTGACCAGAGAAATGAAATTAAGACACTTACTGCAGCAAAACAAGAATCTGAACGGAAAAGAAAGAACTTGGATTCCCAGGTCCAGGAGTATAGTATACGCCTGAATGAGACTGAAAGAACGAAAGGTGAACTTTCAGATAGAGTAGTGAAAATGCAAGGGGAGCTTGAAAACCTTTCTATACAATTAGAGGAGGCAGAGCAGAAAGCATCGTCATATTCCAAATCAGTCTCATCCTTAGAATCACAGCTTGCAGATGTACAGGTAAGATCTCTATTTTGAATCAGTGATTGATCAACTTAGTGTTTTTTAGGAAGGTTCGATCTCACTTGATCCTTTACCACAGATTTGTCAATTATTTCACTGAATGAATATCACACCTAGTGAGTTTCTCATCATAATTTTGTTTAAATTTAGAAAATAGGCATGACATGCTATATTATGTATGTCAATTTGTATTTAGTTTCAGTTTCATCCTTCTTCCTTTTGCTTTATCAAATTTCAATTATCAAATACATTCAAAGCTTGCATTATTGATGATGACTTGTTTTATTTGTGTAATTTATAGGATTCTTTGAATGATGAAACACGTCAAAAGTTGTCTTTGAGTAGCAAGTTACACTCAGTCGAAGCTGAACGAGAAAACTTACAAGACCAGCTGGAGGAAGAAGAGGAAGCCAAGAAGGCTGTGGAACGACAAGCAGCTACGCTCACAGCACAGGTAATCGAGTTGAAAAAAAGACAAGAAGAGGATAACAATGTAATCGAGGCATTAGAAGATAATAAAAAGAAAATGTCAAAGGAGATGGAAGCAGTAGTCACTAGGTTGGAAGAAGTACAATCACATTCTGATAAACTGGAAAAGACGAAAAAGAGACTACAAGGGGAGGTGAGAAGTTTTACACTTGCTTCAAATTTTTTAAGTGTCAATGTTTTAAAGTTTTGCAGCCACATTTTGCAATCTACAAGGTACTTATCCCTCTTACTAATGTGTACTGCATCAAATATTGAGATTTGAACTAGCACAAGACAAAGTAATTGCAGAATATGAATCCTACTTATAATTTTCGAAAATGTTGGTCATAATTGGCATGACAATGTGCATTGGTTTATTAAGCAAAATTATAGAACTATTGTTCCTTAGCACTATAAAATAGCATTCTTTTGTGTTACAGTGACATATTTTGAAAGACTTGTCCTAATATTTGTCAACAAATTTGCATTTTTTTACTTTTTGAAACCCAGATATTGAAATAATTCAAGACAACAAAAAGTACCTTGTTATCATTCACACCTATGATAAGTAGTGTAATGTTGACAAAATGGTCACCATCCACTAAAAATACAGCCATCATTTTCTACCTTAAATTAAGCTAGATTTGTATAAAAAAAAACAAAAAAAACAAAAAAAACAGATACTCATTGGGTTAGGGAACTTTGTCATTGAAGGTCAGGTCGGATGTCTGGGGGATAAAAACCCCTGGCACATGTTACAGTTTGTTAGTCCCCGTTCGGACGCAGTCCGAAAACGGGGACTTATGTTTTGCCCTGTGTCCATCCGTCCGTCCGTCCGCCCGTGATCACCTGTATCTCGAACATGCATGGACCGATTAAGTTAAAACTTCACTCATACATCACACATTATATGGGACATATGCACATGCATTATTTTCATGATCCGATTAACGATAGCCGAATAGCGGCCATTTTAAGGCCGAAAATGCATCAAAATCGCACATTTTCACCATTCCGGACCCAGATCTCAGTTATGCATGGACGGATTTTGTTCAAATTTGGTACATACATTAAACATAATAGGACCTTGATGCACGTCTTTTTTTTTTTTTCGGATCAAGTTCGAAATGGCCGACTGGCGGCCATTTTGTTAAAGAATTCAGTTCTGGATCCGTATCCAAGACATGTCTGGATTGATCAAGTTCAAACTTCACACACACATGGTACATCATGTCACAAATAGATATGTGCATTTGTTTCATGATCTGCTTAACAATAGCGGAATGATGGCCATTTTAAGGCCGAAAATGCATCAAAATCACGTATTTTCACAATTCCAGAACCGGATCTCAGTCATGCATGGATGGATTTTGTTCAGATTTAGCACAATGTGTTGTACATATGCAGGTGCATTGCGGTCATGATCTGCTTTGAATGTATATGTCACTCAAATATGAACGGAACGGGGACGTGTCATTGACAATGACTTGTTTTATGTTACCCGATTGTCAATCTTTATATCTCAGGATTCATATTTTAAAGATACTATTTACTCTATGTGATGTAAAATTCTTGTTTTCATTATCAGGTTGATGACTTGATTGTAAACTTGGACAGTGAGAGAGCCAAGCATTCTGCAATGGAAAAAAGACAGAGAAAGTTTGACCAAACATTGTCAGAAGAAAAAGCACAAAAAGCTAGGCTATTTGAAGAAAAAGAATCTCTGGAAAGAGAACTACGTGACAGAGAAACAAAGGTGTGTATGTAGAGCAGTATCTTGATTGGTTTATTATTGAGATGGGGCGGAAACCAGTTTCAGTCATTAGTTTTTGTAGTTTGTATGGTTATTAGAGAATTTGGGGTGGGGGATGTCGCACTAGTTTTTGTGCTTTACCTTTCCTGCTGTTGTATTATAGTCTTGATGTCACCTGACTTTATGCTGAGATTTTCACCGTGTGATTGTTTTCCAGGTGTTATCATTATCCAGAGAGTTGGAGGAATCGCAAGACTCTATGATGGAAGTTGAACGAATGTATAAAGCTCAGAAAGCAGAATTGGAGGACCTTATGTCATCTAAGGATGATGTTGGCAAAAATGTAAGTTTTATTTTGAACAAATTTGCTGGCATGATGTATTAGAAATGTCACTGTACACTGACTTGCATGTTTAATAACTAAACACAATAATTAATGTCTTAAACACACTCACTGCTTATTGTGTTTAATTAATTGAACACTTCGAATGTGCATTTTTTTGTAAGAACAAATAATCCCTGCCCATTTTAATGTTGGAATGTATTGCATGTCTAGTTTTTAAGTCTTTAATTGTTTTATTTTTAAGGTTCATGAGTTGGAAAAAGCAAAGCGAACACTAGATACACAAGTGGCTGAGATGAGAACACAGTTGGAGGAGTTGGAAGATGAATTACAAGCAACTGAGGATGCCAAACTGAGACTTGAAGTCAATATGCAAGCTGCAAAGACGAGCTATGAAAGAGAACTGCAGAATAAAGAAGAGCAGAATGAAGAAAAGAGGAAAGCTCTCACCAGACAGGTGTTTTGATAATTTATATAATATAAGTTTGTATTTTGTTTTGATCAACTTTGATATTGGCAAATCTATTTTCATTTAAAATCAGTTTTGTTTCACTAGTTTAGAATGCTGGTTTATTATTGTCATTTTGATAGAGCAGACTCACCAACTAATTTTAATTTTTTTTGAAGCTTCGTGAACTTGAAGCGGAAGTTGATGATGAACGCAAAACTCGTGCCAGTGCAATGAACGCCAAAAAGAAGTTAGAAGCAGATTACCATGATATGCAAAGTCAATTAGATATGTCCAACAAAGTCAGAGATGACAGTATTAAACAGCTAAAGAAATTACAGGTATGTTATTGATCTGTGGAATTTCTTTAAAATTCAGTAATGGAATTGAACTCCATAGGTACTAATTTGGGTTTAAAATAAATATTGAACATGTCTTTTCAATTTAATGCACAGTAGTGCGAGACCCTGATTATTAGTTCCTTTTTGGACTAGCAATTTCACCTCTGTGTCTGTCAGTTTGTCCATCTGCACCTGTATCTCAGATACGCCTGGGCTGATTTCATTCAAACTTCACATCATATCATACATATGCACAGGCAGTTTGTTTTATGATCCAATTTAAGATTACCAAATGGCAGCCATTTGTGCTAAAAATTCATCAAAATCTATAGCATTTCTGTCATTCCGGAACCAAATCTTTGTCATGCTTGGACATATTTCATTCAAACTTGAAAGATCTCATTCAAACCATATCATTATTTTTGCCTTACTTTCAATCTTTGAAGATGATAATATAAGTGTGTGCATGTGACCCCAAATTGTTATTTTTTGCAAGACGTTGTTTGAGCTAAATGTCACAAGATTAATTAATTGACCTAACTAAACTTTGACCATATAGTCACTATCTTTGTGATACGGTTGCCCATTTATTATGTTGCACATTAATATTCTATTAGCTAATTACCATAAACACTGATTTAGGCACAAATGAAGGATTGTGTGCATGACTTGGAAGAAGCCAGACAGAGTCGTGATCATCTATCCCACGTTGCTAAGGACAATGAAAAGAAAGCAAAACACTTAGAAGCAGAACTTATGCAGTTACATGAAGATTTGGCATCTGCTGAAAGATTAAGAAAGCAAGCAGAGAACGAACGTGATGAATTAGCTGATGAGATTAGTAGTAATACAGCTGGTAGATCGGCACTTGCAGACGAAAAGAGACGATTGGAACAGAGAATACAAACGCTTGAAGAAGATCTAGATGAAGAACAGAGTAATGTAGAGATATTGGTAGACAAGGAAAGAAAGATGGGATCCCAGGTATGCTCATTTTAGTAGATATATCGGTAGACAAGGAAAGAAAGATGGTATCCCAGGTAAGCTCATTTAGTAGAGATACTGGGAGACAAGCAAAGAAAGATGGGATCCAAAGTAACCTCACTTGGTGCATTGTCCATTGAAGCAACTTCCTGGAAAAATTAAAATTTTTGTTTTGATAATTTTTCAACCATAGTGCTAAAAATAAAAAGTAGATAATGTGCAAGTGTTCAATTCTCAGGTTTAGCGATAGGATGTCCAGTTCTAAGTACATTGATTTTTATTTCTAGTGGCTTTTACAATATGTCTGAGAAATTGTACTAATCTTATTAATATGCAATTTGAAAGGTTGAACAGCTGACCACAGAATTAGCTGCTGAGAGATCTTCCACTCAACGTTTAGAGAATTCTCGTATGTTGCTTGAAAGGCAAAATAAAGAATTGAAAGCGAAACTTCAGGAATTGGAGGTTGTTGCCAAGACACGAAGCAAGGCCACTATTAACCAATTAGAGATCAAAATTGCTAACTTGGAAGAACAGCTTGAACAGGAGACAAAGTAAGTCATGAATGGTGATTGGATGAATACATTTGTGATGTCATCATGCGTATTTCTGAGTAAATTCTGTTCCTTCAAACTAACAAACATATTTCTGCCCTCTTCTCCCAAACTACATTGTACTTGTCACATTATTTCTATCCTCCACTGTGCCCCACCTGTATCTTAGACATACCTGGGCCAATCACATCCAAATACACAAGCATTTCTGCCCTTTCCTACTCAGATCTCTGTCATACACATACTGTTGTTGTTCTTGATATAAATATTGAACATAATGGAACCATAATGGAACCATAATGATTTTTAGATCTTCTCATGTCATATCTCTGAAATGAATTGCCTGATTGCCACTACATTGTACATCATGTCACACACATGCATTTGTTTAATGTTCTGATTCAATTGGCTCACCCATTTTCAATGTTCACTTTTGAACTCTGTACTTCCATGACATGACTTATTATCGTCTATAATTTTAATATCTTTACAGAGATCGTCATGCTGCTCACAAGAGTAATCGTAGAATGGAAAAAAAATTAAAAGAACTTGTCATGCAGGCAGAAGATGAGCGAAGACAGGGAGACCAATACAAAGAACAGGTACAGTTGCTGTCCCCATTTGAACATTTACTGTGTTGGTGGAGTACCTTGCACAGTTGATTATAATGTGCATTTGAAATGTGCTGTATGGTATTCACAAGGTCTTGAACTTTATCAGACTGTTTATAATCTTTTTCACAAGTTGCAACTATTATTTCATATGTCTTTTCTATTTTTTTAGGTTGATAAAGTGAACTCTCGAGTTAAAGGACTGAAACGGCAACTTGATGAAGCAGAAGAAGAATTCACCAGAGCCAATGCCAGCAAGCGCAAACTACAACGTGATTTAGATGATCAGATTGAAGCCAACGAATCACTGACGCGAGAAATTAATCAACTCAAGAATAAACTGAGGTTCTTATGAATCCTTCGCATTACTCTTGGGTGTTCTCTTGCGTCCTCTACACGTACATACATACATACACACATACATGACATCACATCACATCACATGCACACTCAATCCCTTCAGTTCATCAACATAGTGTTAGTGTTTTATTTGGTATTAATGTACTAATCCAATATAAACAATTACTCTGTAACAAATGCATGGTTTCTGTTGATGTATAGTTGCACCTATACTTGTTTCATGAGCAAGACTCTCGCCAAGACTAGCGCGCCAACCGCAGATTTATTTACCGGTGTCTTGGAATTCAGCATCATATTGTTAGAATATCATCAGAGAGCAGGCTTCTATGAAATCTGTGTAATATAATCACATTAGTGTTAAATTAGAATGATTGTTTCACTTCAAGGGATTATAATCACATTATTAAACACGCTCACTGTTTGTAGTTCCAACAACTGACTACTGTTAGATTGGATATTTTATCATAAGCACCATAGAGTTAACAAAATGATGTCATTGCACAATAATAATAATATTAACAATGTTGATGTATATCACCTGTTATTCATCACAGTCATCATTGAGCAAACCTCATGAAACCAATGGGTGCTTTGCTGCCACATTATAATGCAACAGATTGGGGATTTGCTCTGAATAACATTTGTTCCAATGTGGATCAGTTGGGACTGAATCCCTTGCTCTATCTTGTCGTAACACCACTAACACCATGGCACTGTGTTTTTCATCATAGTCACACAGCATCATTGCCTTCCATGCTCTTCTCACTATTCACTGTCAGCATTTTGGTGTGCCTATTGCAGCTTATGAAACTATATCCACCATACTACCATCACTCAGTATCAGTCCTATGGTAGGGCAGATAGTCAGTCTTACGAACACATCTCTGTTTTGTTATTTGTCTTGTTTGTTTTGTTTGGGTTTGCATGCAGGTAAGTAAGTAAATAGTCTGGTGATAGGATAACGGGACCATTATGGTTATGATTCAAACGAGTTAATGGCATCCCTTATTTTCATCTTGTTTGTTCCTTTCAGACATTGATGTCCACCGAATAATTTGAAAGTTTGAAATGTAAGGGAAACTAATACTTCCTGTTCATGCAGTATAATGGGTTTGTAATTCTGGGAATGGTCCATACTTCTCATCATTCCACAGTAAAACCATCACATTTCAAGATATTTGTTAAAAACCCTGCTTCATTTTGTCTTACACCTGAAATCGCGTTAATAATTGCAATTTTTATTTTGTTTTACAGGAGAGGTGATATATCATCACGTAGTAGTCGAAGTTACTCGCGCCGTACTGAAAAAAGAGATACCAGTGGAACTGACAGCCCTGATGCTTCCATGGCGGATGGGGAAGACGATTAAACCAAATAATGTTGAAAATGTTTGAAGACAAATTTATTGCTTTTATGAATACAACTTTATAACAAAGAAAGAAATATCAATTAATACAATGATGTGAATAGAAAGGAATAGATTATGGTATAATTATTATTACTAGAAAAAAATAAATAAGCAATTGTATGAACTCTAGAAGATTATGAAAGTTGGAAGAGTTGTGTATTTACCGTATCTTAGTGATTTTTGAATGCATTAAAATGAAATAGCGCTTAGCCAGGAAGTTGATATGACATGCATGTGGAAGATCTTGTTCTGTAGTTAAACTGTGTACCCTCTGGATTATTGGGTGGGGTGGGGTGGGGTGAGAAGAAATGTAGCCACCCAGCACAGTCACAGATTAACATCAATGTCAACATTTCATACATAATTTGTATAAATGCAAACTTTTTTCATTTAGGTTATCTGAAGCATGATCTGATCAGTGTGTGGTTGTATGGTTTATCTCTTGTTTTTCACCTGGAATAAATACTGAACTCGTGTTACTACATTTCAAAGGTACGCGAAGAATAAAAAAAATTGCATTTACATCTATTAAAAAAAAAAATCCCTCTGTCCAAAAGGGATGGGGGGTCATCTATGTATTTCGCATGCATAAGTAGAAAACCCTAAATTAGTATTAAAATTAGGGGTACTATAATTGATATGGGCAGGTTAGAGTAATCTGAAATGATTTCCAGTGCATGCATTAACTGTACACATTTGTGAATGAATACATAATCATTTTATATTATCATTACATAGTTTAGAAATGTTTCCCTATTTTTTCCTTACATAAACAGCGTTTTAAAAAATTCAAACTGCTAATCTTGTATCAGTATTTTATATATTTTTGGAGATATGTTTAGATTGGGCACATTTCAGCATTACTCTTGGCAGAGTTTTTAAAAAATAAAATCTATGAAAAAAAAATCAATTCTGCCATGCCACGGTTGATACAAACTCGTTATTTTCTTTATTACAAAGTTGGTTTTCATTAATGTGCTTTGTCTGCCTTATTGCTGATTTGTTCACACAATTGTTTTTATTCACGGTGCTCCCATTGTTAAGTTTACTGCATTTTTTTGAAGTCAAAACTTTAATACTCAGTACTTGCTAGTTATTGACACAGTTTAGTAATCTCAATTCCTGCATCATGTTTTAGTTATGGGAGTTCTGGACTATTCTATTATGAGGAGGGTATCATTAATCTGGTGATCCACTTTTAAAATTGAAATTGCCGTTTTAATCCCCCTTTTTAAACCTTGTGAACTGGTCGAGGCAGCTGATTGTAGAGTGGAGACATTTTGAAATCAATCCCTGTATCACATTTTGCTAGTAGCAAGCTCATATAAATCATCACACACGTTTTCATATTCTTAACAGTTTGATGTTCCCCCTCATCTATATTGTGTATCAATTAACTAAAATGAATGACCCTTGTTGAAAATGTTCTATTCAGTGGGCTGGGGAGAGGCTGATTTTTACAGTCTTAGTTCAAAGGGCATCTAAGTTTGTTGCCGGGCATTCTTTGGCTTCATGCCATGATATCTGAACAAATTATGATACATAATATAACTATTAAAACCCAGTGTGTTTTGTGTGTATTTAGAAGTGGTTCATACAGACATGTTTCTGTCCTAGTTTACGAATAATCAAAATCAGGTCTGTGCATCGGGAATTGTTTCTCGCTGTTCATTTTTCCAGCAAATAAGTTTCCGTTAATGTGAAAGATGTTTAATTAGAAAATAATAACTATTGTTTTTTTGCGCTTTGTTAGATGTATTGTTAAAGTACAACTCATTAATGACGTTGAGGCGCAAAATGTTGTCTATTGTATGCAGTCTTGTCTGTCGCTTTCTCACACAGAATTAAATCATTTCCATTTAACAAGTAATTGTGTGTCTTTTAGTATCATCCATCCCAGATGTTAAATCTCAATTGTAGACCTCTTCCAGTCTATGATTTCAATTGGTAATAGACATCTGAAAAATCGCCTTGGTGTAATATACATACTCTTAATGAAAATAATGCATTACATAGTAAAGTGAAGGTACAATTGTAGAGTTGACTCCCATGTGCGAAGCACAAAATGGGAGTCTTTGCAGTTAGTGTGTGTGTATGTGTGTCCGACTGTTCCACTGCTATCTCAAGAACCATACATCGGTTTTTGATGAAACTTGGTGCATAGATGCTCTGGGCCAATGCGCAGATTTGATTAGGTTTTGGTAAAAATCCATGCTCGTTAATTACCTAATTTGCATGATAATTAGCTAATTTTTAGCTGTTCTATGACTGTTCCACTGATATCTAAAGAACCACTCATTGGATTTTGATGAAACTTGGTACATAGATGCTCTGAACTAATGCTAGGTTTTGATTAGTTTTTGGTAATAATCCGTGGATACTAATTTGCATAATGATTAGTCAATTTTCGGTTTTTCCACTGATATCTCAAGTACTAATCATCACATTTCAATGAAACTTGGTACATAGATGTCGTATGACACTGCACAGACCTGCTAGTTTTTATGGTAATATCAGTACATGTAATTACCTAATTAGCATAATTAATTAATTTTCAGCTTTTGATATAAGTAGTGAGCATTACATTTCAATGAAACTTGGTACTTACATACTCGAGGACTATGCAGAGATTGAGTTTGAAATATTTGTGCATATTAATCACCTAATTTGCATAATTAGTTATATTTTCAGCTTTTCCACGGGTATCTCAAGTACTAATCATCGCATGAATCTAAAATTATGCAGAGACCAATTAGTTTTTGGTAAATATTTGTGCATATTAATCACCTAATTTGCATAATTAACCAATTTCCAACTTTCACACTGATATCTCAGGTACTACCGTAATCATCACATATCAATGAATGTTTATACATGGATGCTGTAGGACAATAGACAGACCTGGATAATTGTGGGTTAAAATCTGTACATATTAATTACCCAATTTGCATAATTAACCAATTTTAAGCTTTCACACTGATATCTAAAGTACTAATTTCCATTTTAATGAAACTTAGTACAAAGATGCTCTAGGACAATGTACAAACCTAATTAGTTTGGGGTAAAACTGTTCATATTATTTCCCCAATTAGCATAATAATTCATAATTTTTTGGTCCTAATCACATTTCAATTAAACTTGGTACATAGTTTTTGTTACATTGCGCAGACCTCATTAGTTTTACAATCAAATCTGTTCATGTTAATTTTCTGATTTGCATAATTAGTTTTCAGCTAAGTAATTTCAAATTATATTTAATGTGTCTCCAATACTTTCAGCACATGGGAGTTCTTTCTAAGCTTTCTTTGATTTTAATAAATGATGTTGAAGGAAGCACAATAGCTTCTATTAGAGCAAATGCATCATTCAATAAAAATATAACCGCAAGCAAGCGGCTTATTCGTAAGGGTCTAACTAATGACTAATTTTCGCTGGGTTTAAATTTCACTGATTTACCATTTCAGGCATATTCAGGGGTTTTTAAATTTATGGTTTCGTCATTTAGATAATGTGTTCTATGCTAAATTTTACATATTCACTAGGTTTTAATTTAGCGCATTTTCCAGTCGGCGAAATAAGCTAAATTAAAACCCAGTGAATAATTACCCCCTTTACAGTAGTACATGGTGTGGGTGAAAAGGTTTAAATTTGGTTAATGTGCAATTCGATAATATGCTCGGATTCCAACCAAAAACTTGTCTGGTCTGCACACTATTCCAGTGTATCCATGTATCAAGTTTCATTGAAATCTGTTGAATAGTACACAAGGAAAAAGTATACAGGCTTAAAAATGGCTGATATGAAATCTGAATGATTACTAAATCGCGATTTGGGCACAAACTCATTTTGTAATATTTGCAAAAACTGCAGATTTACATTTGTAGAATGACAATGTTTCCACTCCTTGCCGGAGATACTCAATGCTGCAATGCCAATAGACAAATATCGCGTCCGTTTAAAATAGCGCCCTCATCGATTAAGGTAGTAAGGGAGAACATTTTTAGCTCTGCCTGCACACAAGAATGAAGAGTGGTAAGCCAAATCTCAAACTTTGTAGGTTTTCATCAAATTTAGTAAATGGTTGCCTTGGGGGGGGGGGGGGGTAATACGCAGAAATTAGTTTTGAGACGGTGTTTTAAATAGCTAATTTGCATGATAATTGTCGCATTTCAGCCTGTGCATGATGCTCTAGCTCCATGGCCTGTGTAAGAAAAATCTCAAAACATTCTGAGCGAATTTTGATCAAATGTGCTATATTGGTGCTGAACATTTCCTAGATATTATTTTTATTAAACTGATTGCATATATTTACGCGAACATTGCAGAGTTTAACTTTCATTTATATTTGAAACAGTGTTTTCACATTTCTGGCTATCTTCTGAATGTCACTCCAAGCGACAGCTTTCTGTTTACGCAGTATATCTTGCGTTACTGTGTCTTTGTACTAAGGTGTTGAATCAGGTTACCTTTCAGTTCATCGTGCATGTTATTTTCAGCTGCAAATGACATTTCGGCATTCAGGGTCACTGAGTAGTTCTTCATTATAGTGTCTCGTATATTGTCAACATAGTTCATGTGTTAGTACATGTTATTTTGGCGAGAAAAATGCCAGATAGCTTCTGACACAATTGTCAGTTAAATTGTGATCGTCAGTCATTTGTTGTCATCGTTGGGATTATTCTCGGGATGAAATCTCAATCATTCTAATAACTACACATAACACGGCAAGTTCACTTCAATCATGGAGCTTTAATTATAACTCCATGTTTCAATGTACTATCACGGGGGTAATTCTTTTATCTCTGGGTTCTCCACACGTGTCGGAGGGAAATCTCGTCTCGTTTCTCTACCGCGTCCCCTTGAGGTGCGGGATCGGGAAAGTCACTTATAATTTACAGTCAAATAAGACGCACACAACGAAATACGTTTCAGCTCTCGTCTTAGTCGGTCAATCGAGCACTCTATAAGACACAGCGCCCTGGGGAAAAAATCCCCAAGACTATGGCAAGGCTGACCCAAGACTCTCTTAGACTGTGTCTACACTCGCCCCAAGGCTCTCCAGGACTGCCTCTATCGTGGAGTACTTGCCAAGACCAACTAAAACAACTTTATTCATTTTCAAAACTCTAACCAATTACAAAGCAGTAAAAAGACTCTAGGGCGTAACCTTCAATCATAAAGCCAATCACACTAAGTACCGAATACGTCATATCTTTTGATTAATCGTTCACTACATTAATAACTATGGAAACCAACTGTCAGAATAGCGGCGGTTATCTCGTAGTTAGTTCCAAATCACTGAGCCAAGTTCCGTCCAAAACTTCAAATAGGCCTAAACGATGACAGACATAACACACCAATTCGCTAATAATCAGCTAATTAAGTCGATCAACAGATACGCAAAAACAAATTCATGACAGTACAAGATGACTGGCGGTCAAAGCCACCCCAATCAGATACTCAGGCTAGTAGTTTATGAAGGTTTAGTTATTGCCTGGTTAGCTTCTTGAAGCTGTTCAGCGATTATGAATTAATGTCGTCGGGTAAAAAGTTCTTATGGCGTATTATTCGTTGACAAGATAATTAAAATGAACTAAAATATTACCGCCCGTAAACCCCTGAACACTTTGTCAATTCATAGAGGTTTTTTACCTCCATCGTCAATTTAAAACTTAGTCCCGAAACAAATTTCAAATTCACTAGACGTTAGTTCACCGACGACGCTGGCTAGCATGACAATTTCATTATTCGCCGTTTTGGACACGTTCTCTCTCGACAATGCACAATGAAAATCATACAACCTATCGCAATATTCATGCAATATAAATCCAATAAACATACACAGAAAAGAAACTTGACTATCGCTTATGAAACTGAATGCTTTCAGTAAACACGGAAGTAACTTTCAATATCTCGCTGTCATGCAGATAAGTACCAAGCAAAAGCGAAATAACTTTTTAACAAATTCCTGCTAAATTCTTCCAAAATTTGGATCGAAACGCCACACATATGAGCAAGATATACTCGCGTCAGAAATGTAAATAAAACAGATTCAGGCTCAGCAAGTGCTTTATTTAGTGCAAATTGATCAGTCGACAACATCGCACTAATTAAAGACCGTCTGTAGAACACGCATTTGTAAATTTATAATCGGTGACCATGATCTAATGATAGAGCATGAAGGTAAAAAGAGAAGGAGTCACAGCCAAAATAATCCTCCTAAACTTCTTTTGTTTTAGACATGTTTAATCCCATAATTCCCTTTGTCTTCTCGTCCTTTCACCCCAGGATCGTCGCCGACGCGTCATTTACTCTCAAGCGTTGCTGCGCAAAGTACACATTCCAAGGTCTTGTTTTACGGTGTCGCAGTAAATGTCAAAGGACATAAAGCATGCGCAGATCTTTTATACGTAGACGAATCGTGTTTGTGAGAACGGGAAAGTTGGAATTATGAAAATCAGAGAATTTCTTGTTAAGTTTATGTAATTTTTCGTTTTCAGCACATTTTCCGTTGTATTTTTGAATCAGCAATATTGTAATGTTTCGAAACCTTGCTAGTACTGTTTTTAGTCCACAATAAAGCTCGTTTAATGATCTTTGCAATGGTGCATGGCATGGACCGCACCGCGTTGTACAAGAGACTGAATTTTGAGGTTTATTGCTGGATAAACTGGCATAGAAACATGTAACACATGAATGACGCTTTTTGAAGTTTATATCCCTTGTATGTCCTACTTCCTACGGCAGTGCGTCAACAAGAAATTCGCTGCATTTTTTGTTTTCGAGCAATCATTTTGTTCACAGCATATGGAAAACAATTTTTCGTCTGTAATATGCTCTTCGATTTCGTTTACGTCTTCTGAAATGAAG